AGGGGCTGGTTCCGCCCCCACGGAAGCGTTCCCTCTGCGGCTCACATGGTGGCAGAGCAGGAGCGGGTGCTTCGCCGCGTCCCCAGGGCGAGCCGAGCGTCGCCTGAAACGCCGCCGCTGAAGTCAAAGAGGGAAGCGCCAGGGCCGTCACCCGCGCCCCCCCAAAGCACCAGGAATTTCATCAAGGCGAGAAAACCCACCCCAAGGGGAGCGCTCACCGCGTGCGCTAACCCAAAAGGACTGGCAAAAAAAAAAAAAGGGGGGGAGTCTTCAGGAAAACATCACCTCGTGATTACGAGCAGGGTTCCACGGGCCCGTGCGCCGCCCCGAGGCGAGGCCGCAGCCCCAGGAACCGCGAGGCCGGGAGGGAGACAGCTGGGAGAAAGTTTGTTTATTTACAGGCGGCAAAGGCTCCCTGCGGCGCTTCGTTACTTCAGTGGGATGAACCGGGAGGAGTGGGTGGCCCCGATGCCAGGCCGGCCGTGCTTCACCGGCTTGTAGGTGATGGAGAACTCCCCCAGGTAGTGACCGATCATTTCGGGCTGGAAGAGAACGGAGAGATCCGCGGTGGGGGGGGCGAGCAGGGCCAGGGGCTGCAGCTCCCCCCCGGCATTGCCTGACTTCAAAGCTGGGCTGAAGCACTGCGAGGCCCCGAGCCCCCTCTGTGAGGAGCAGCCCCCCGGGCCGGAGGCTTTTGGGTGACCTTGGGGGCCAGCTCTGCCCCAAGCAGAAGCCTCGGCCTCCCCCACAGGCGCAGGGCAGGAGCGGGGTTAGGTGAAGCACGGAAAAATAAACGCAGGCGCACGGAGGACGCTCAGCTGGGATCAGGGCAGAGCTCTCGGCCGCCGCTGTGACTCCTCACCTTGATCTCCACCTGGTTGAAGGTCTTGCCGTTGTACACGCCGACCATGCTGCCCACCATCTCGGGGAGGATGATCATGTCCCGCAAGTGGGTCTTCACCACCTCTGGCTTCTCCATGGGCGGCGCCTCCTTCTTGGCCTTGCGCAGGCGCTTCAGCAGGGAGTGCTGCTTGCTGCGCAGGCCCCGGGTGAGGCGCCGGCGCTGCCGGGCGCTGTACAGCTGCATCAGCTGCTCGCTGGAAGGGATGGAGAGACTGAGCCTGGAGCTCCCCG